GGGGGGGGGGGGTGCAGGACCGCCATGAGCCCCGAGAATGGCTGAGACTCTGAGATGTAGATAGAGACACGGAGACGGTTTCGCGGGGTTTTGAGGTGATTCTTTGAATCAGTAGGCTCCGGAGGTAATTTCCCTGGGCTCATGGTGAGTGTTCACCCCCTCCCTTCGCTATTATGTATCTTTAAAAATGCATATAAATAAATAAGGTAATAATTTGCATTGATTTTCAGTGTCTATTTCTGTGTTATTCAAAAATATATTAACTTACAAGAGAAAAATGAGAATAAAAATAAAATGACAAACTTGATTTATGTATTTTTGAGGGTCCGGTTAGGTCAGGTTCAGACAATTTCTGTGCCGAGCGCTGTGGCTATGGGGGCCGAGCACCGCAGCTAGGACAGATTTTTTAATCAGAAAATACCATTTCTCCATTGTTTATATAAAAACTAAAATTAAAAAAAATTGATATAGAAATAGTAGACAGGAAGGTAAAATTGATATTGAAATAGTTGAACAGGAAGGTAAAATTGATATAGAAATAGTTGAACAGGTATAGAAATAGTAGACAGGAAGGTAAAATTGATATAGAAATCGTAGACAGGAAGGTAAAATTGATATAGAAATGGTAGACAGGAAGGTAAAATTGATATAGAAATAGTTGACAGGAAGGTAAAATTGATATAGAAATAGTTGAACAGGAAGGTAAAATTGATATAGAAATAGTAGACAGGAAGGTAAAATTATGATTCAAATAAAGCCTGAAATCGGATCTTCTGGGAGGAATATTCTCTATCTTCAATGCTTGATCTCGATATACAATATGGGCACTTATAAATCAGAGGATCAAGGCTTGATCCCTTCATTTTAGTTATCCCTGCTGGATACATGACCACCACAGGATATTAAAGAGAAATTAAATTAATCTAGAAGATCTAAGTATGTAAATGCCCTACTTCATAAATGCTTGATGCGATCTATATTATCCATGTTAGTAATATATCTTAACTATCTGTATTTTGACCCTGTCTGGCTAGCCCAGTCAGCTTAGCTCACCTGTATATATATAATAAATCAGTTCAATACAAATCGTTGATTAACACGGACGTATACAGAGCCTTGAGTTTTGGCTAGAGATTGCGAGCCTAGAGTTTTGGCTAGAGATAGAGTCAGTTAGATTCTAATTAGACTTTGAGTTGAGTTATCTCGGGGCTAGATTTCTTACAGGATATGTTTTCAGAATTAGTTTTTTTTCAAGTATTAAATAATGACGACAAAAAATGTAAACAAAACTCTACAGTAAACTAATTAGCTGTTTCGGAACCGGTTGAGAAAATAAAAATTAATCTTATCATCGAAAATAAGTAATCTTGTTTAATTATTAGTTTCTATTATCACATTATTTTAGTTCTCATTATTCACAAACATTTTCTGCGGATTTTCTTGAATTATTATTGAAAAGACGACATTTGAAGAATTTGCAGAAATCTGTGAATAAATTCAAAGAAAATAAGAAATTCAATATAATAGTAAAAACGAAATAATTGATTCTAGCATTGATTCATTGTTTAAGAAACATGTTCCCAACCATCTAGTTAGATTACTATATGATTTTTACTTTATTTTTCGTCGTCGTTTTTTTAGTAATTTAAAAAAACCGATTCTGAAAACGTATTCACCCCCAAAGTAGGAGTTTTGAACGTCGAATTTGCGCTCAAACTCAGGATTTACAAATCTTTAAAAAGTTTTATATGTCTCAAATGAATCCGAAAGAAGCTTACAACAACACTGAATACTCAGTTCAGCTATTTAACATAGCCGGTCACTCCCTTTAATCGCAATACAAGATTTTCGCATTTAGATTTACGGACAATGTACAACGTAATTGTTCTAGGATCTGCCATTGTATTTAATAGAAGTATGCTTTATCCTGCGATTCAGAGTACAAAAGTTCTGAATTCTGTTCTAAGAAGCCCTGCCATAGCTTTACAATATTCCACTCTCATTGATATTTTTTTAAAACTCTCTCCCATCTCGAGAAATTGTGAAATATCAGTAATATTTGTATACAACTTGTTTTCTTCTCTTTATTTTACAATTTATGTATATACATTAGTTATATAAAAAATGTTTTTAACGATTAACATTAGATAACGTATACAGCATATACATACAGAACTGATTCAGAGATAATTATTATTCTGATTTTTTAGTTTATATTTAAAACAATATGTATAGTTTATGTTTATTTAATTTATTAGCAATTGCCCATTGCCAAATCAGGAAAAAATTCAGTTTTATTTTTATTGCCGAATTAGTACCACAGACAACACGTTATAGATATTGAAATCAGAACAATATTTTTTTTATAACGTAGAGGTGTTCAAGAAAACGTAAAATATACAAATATGTAAACTTTAATTCGTTTTAAGTAACGTTTCTAAATTATATCAATCTATTAGCAATTAGATTACATAATTAGGTTTAATTGTTACAAAAATATTAAGATAACGCCTTATTAAGGAATAATAGCCAAACAAAGTTGATAAAAAGATAAATGTTAATTAAGTGTGAACTATTGGTAAAATTGTCACAGCCATTATTGCAACCATTTATCACACTCAACAGACAGGACTATAGTCTTTATGTGACATGTCTGGTACGAATTTGCTTTCAAGAAAAGGAATGAGAAAATCCATCTTATTCTATTACATAATTGTATACATACTTTTTCTTATCAAAATTTGAAAACATATTGGATTTCAGTCTTAAGATGAATTTGTTTTAGTTTGACTTCATATGTTTAGAAAAATAGATTTTATGTAAAATGGATGTTTACTGGATAAGTTCCTGTAGAGAACGGTAGTGTGCAGGGGGGGGGGGTAAAATTCTCCCTTTCCTTGTGTTTATGTGTTGTTTCTGCATTGGTAAAGGGAACTGTTCACGTAATCTCAAATTAAATTCCGTTTGACTTAGGGCACTTTAAACCGTTGAATTTAACAGTAAAGACAAGAAGATGGCCTGGATTTTTTTTTAAACGGTGAACGGACCATTATCGTTTAATAGACAAAGGTACCATTGTGAATCATTGTTGGCCCACTTTCTTTTTAAGGGTTCCTTAAAATAACGTGAGCTTTCCCTTTAAGCATACTCCTGTTTAACTGTTTAACTGTTTATAGTTTTGTAGTTTTGTAGAACAGATATGAAAGGATGTGCTCTCAATATCCGTCCACACCTCCAGCTTTCCTGAAGTCGGCGTTGGCGTAAATTCGTCCGTCTTTTTCGACGGAAACTCCGTTAATAACTGAACCGAAGCTGTCCATTTCCGCGGTCGCGTGACCCCGCTTCTCAAGCTCTTTCAAAAGATCCTAAAATAATCGATGATTTTACAGTTTACCTTTCTTTAGTTTTTGAATTTGTACAGGGGATTATACAAGGGGATCTAGAACATATCTAGAAGGGTTGACCCCACTGTAACATTGAAAAAGGCCAAGCACCGGAAAAAATATACTCCCTGGCTTCTGATTGATTTACTATAAATAATAGTATTTATTCTACATATCTACAGGGTGTCACAATAAACTTTGGATTAAGGTGACATTTTTCAATGAACACAATTATTTCAGTATTCCAGTTTATACAGCTAATATCGAAAACGCCTGGTCATGCGATTTTCAAAATTTGATCTACCATTTATGTATCTTCAAAATTGACGGAGATATTGCAAAATGTGAAATTTTTGAATTTTTAAGACACAAAATAATATATATATATATATATATATATATATATATATATATATATATATATATATATATATTGTTTTATATAATATAGAGAGCGAGACCACTTTATAAAAATCTCGTAAGACGTACAGCCTCATTTTTATACTTTCTTTGCCATTTATGGAATATCAGAAATCAAAGACGACTTTCAATTCCCGTGTTTATTGGGACACCATGTACTTTACTTTGGCATTACAATTTTAATTCTAAAAAGATGATAGCCAATTTTTCAATGAATGAAAGGGAGTTTAGGCTTGAATTTATACACTTTTGGAGTTGATCGCTACATATATGAGTTATATCTGATGTACCTGTCTCGAGAAATATGTATGAAAACTGTGTCAACGATATAGACCTGTCATTTGTGAATATAAACTTGGCGTTTTTTAAATCCATTGGACTAATCAAATTTTAAACTTGAGTCTAACAGTCGTCTTTCTATTCTACAGACTAATAGGTCTGCACTGTCTATAACTATACCTGGGAAACCTTAGGGATAGTCGGGTTCGTAAGAGACTTCCATAGGAGCCAAATGTTTATACCTGTGGATAGTCAGGTTCGTAGGAGACCTCCAAAGAAGCCATATGTTTATACCTGTGGATAGTCAGGTTCGTAGGAGACCTCCAAAGAAGCCATATGTTTATACCTGTGGATAGTCAGGCTCGTAAGAGACTTCCATAGGAGCCAATTGATGATGAATCCGTCTCTTATCTATACTCATCTTTATATCCTCACCCAACCACAGATTACTGATGATTGTCTACAAATCAAATTATAATTAATGTTTTCTCCATTTTAAATTGTTTTCTAATTAGTTACTTCTTAAAGGGAATGTTTAAGCGTAATTTCTAATGACTCTCCATGAAAAGATGGAAATTCCCGATCCCCTGAAAGCTTTGTCTGATCAAGTATGATTATATGTTGAAAGCTGATTATTTTCGATTGGGAGTTCTCTACAAAAGTAATTTTTACATTTTTGACCAGAAATCGGTTTCAAGGGTACCGTTGTGAATCATATATTGTCATCTTTTCATGGAGGATTAATTGAAATTACGCTTACACAACCTTTAAGAATCTCGTATGTTAGTTAGTTTAGAAACAAACTGGAAAAATTGGAAAACTGAAACCATAAGATGACGAATAAAATAGAAGATAACGCCGTTTCTCTGATTTTAAAAGTGTTTATTTTATATAATTTTATCATACACAAATAAAAATAAACAGGTTTCCAAACGAAAACATGGATATCTAATCCATACTTGATTGCAGCCCATGACGTTAATGGCACCTTCATGAATCGGACCATACCCTTCTCATGTCACATCAAATTACGTTTACAGTGTCTAAAGTCAATTAACTTAAATGATATTTTTGCTGGTGTTTAAGAATTATCTTTAACATTTTATTTTTTTTTCTTCTAAAACTGTGTTTAATTTCTCACCAGAGCTGTTGCTGTTGTAATCTTTGTACCTCCAGCTGCCCCAACTACCAACCTCACTTTACCGTCCTTGTTTACGATAACCGCAGGACTCATAGAGGACAGAGGACGTTTTCCTCCCTAAACAAATAAAATCTCTAGCACCATCAATCAACTTAGCAAAAGCTTAATTCATTGTTCTGTCCCGTCTTGCCAATTAAAGTTAGTATGTGTAAATGTGTGATGTACAGCTAGCTCTTACAGCTTAAAAGTCTGTCCGGTATTTGATATAAACCCGAGTTTACAGTGATTGAGATGTGGCCATTTTTACAAATTTTGAAAAAGTTTTTAATTTCATTTACGCCAACGTTAAAAATATGTAATATTTCTTGTGCAATTCAAATCTATGCTTGAAAACAAAACAAAAATGATGTTAAGCTACATGCATTAACAGTTTAAAAAAGGCCGGAATATCAAAAAATTTATTTTTTCTAGATAGTCCAAGAAGGGTATTTTTGTTTCTGATATGAATTGCAAAAAAAGAAATAAAACAAAATCTAACGGGGCTAATATTGACCGACTTTAGACATTTCTGTAAAAAATCTAATTACTTGGGAGTCCAGCTATTTTGAAATATTTGTAATTAGAGTTTTTAAACGGTTCTTTTAGATATTTATCTAGGTTTTTTTGGAAATTTTTTTTTTCGACAAGCTTTACAAGGGTCGACATTTTTCTGTTCAAATATAAATACATTTTCGCTAAATATAGTATTTTTTTTAATGAAAATTATAACCTTACTTTAATAAAGTTGTGAGGTGAGGGGGGTACTCCGAAATAATTTGTAATATTTGGCGCTGAAAAATCGTCCATCTCGTCATTTAGAATTATTCCCGTTCTCTTCGACATGATCAGGGAACCAAAACTGAAAAATAATGATTTTTTAGTTTTAGATTTTCAATCAATTCTTTTCGGCAAAAATAAACATATTTTTGTTAAATACTTTGTGATTTTTTCTTGCATTACGATGGTAAAAATTACTAAAACTTACTACAAATTAATTGTGCTTGTGACAGAGACTGCGTCGCCATTTTCCGCCAGAATTGACACGTGGGCTGTTCCGTGGTCTTCCGGTGTATAAAATACCGCGCCGTAATGGCTGGCATTGTTGTAGGTTTTGTCGTCTTCTATCCTACTCGCCTTGTCCACAGCAGATTCCTCGCTCGTCATATTCTTCACAATCTACCAAAACATTTTTGTTTACAAAACAGATTTATAAGCAAAAACTACTTTTAACAACAAAACTGTTACAAACAGAGTTACCCACAAAGGATAAACAGTCTGAAGAGAAGACTGTTTAAGGGACTGTACTGTACACGGTCTGGGAAGACCTTCATTTATTATAGTGGCATATATATACATAGGTTACTTTTCTAAATCAGATATGATACACTCTTGTTAAATGGAGAGACTTGAGTCACCTCAAATTACGTTTACAGTTCCTTTAAGAAACTATGTAATCTGGAGAATAAACTCTATAATCTAGAGTGTTACCTGTTGAATAAACTCTATAATCTGGAGAGTTACCTGTTGAATAAACTCTGTGATCTCTGGATCTGAAGGATCTCCTAGCTCTGTTCTTAAAGCATACGCCCACTTGAAAGATTCTGTTATTCTAAAAAAATTATTACAAAAAATACACCGCACAAAACTATTTTGTAACAAATTAATCCATTTCGATATCTTCCTCATTCCAACACAGAAGACAATGGAGGATACAAGATATTTTTAAGGTGGGTGGAGGCGCTTTACCACGAACTCTGATTTTCTCATCCCTCTATTTTTGCAACCTTTTGTCGGATACTTCTACAAAATCTGTTACATCAAATAATCTAAGTTTGAAATATCAAAAAAAAGGAAAGAAAGTTTGAAAAACTGTTTAACCTGTGTGCTAGTAAAGGAGCCGGGTCTGCTGCTGAGATATTGAACTCGTCTAGGATATTGAGAATATAGGCTAGGATAGCTCCACTACCAGGCGGGGGAACAGAGTAGAAATCTACATCAGTATTTGACAGATGAACCTTAAAAATAAACAGTTTAATCGAAATATGAAAACTAGAAAACTCTGAGGTAAGAAGACGACATTTAGAATCAAGTTAGGACTTTATCTATGTTCAATTCACATAAGACACACAATTATGCAGTGTAAAAATCCCTTACACTTAATAAAAGATTGAATAAGTTACATTTCAAATGATTTGCTTTGTAACAACATCAAATACACTTGAATTTTGCTCATTTCCAATTCTTCGTTCCTAATTCCTGATTTTTAACTCCTAATTCCCAATTTCTAATTACTAGGCTAGGTTACTAGAGCTTTTATTCCTCATTCTTAATTCCCAATTAATAGTACTTTTATTTCTCATTCCTAAGTCCAAATTCCTAGTACTTTTATTCCTCATTCCTCATTCATACTTAATAATTTTTAATTCCAAATTCCTTGATCCTCATTCCTATAAGCTCTAAAGGCTAGGTTACTAGAGCTTTTATTCCTCATTCTTAATTCCCAATTAATAGTACTTTTATTTCTCATTCCTAAGTCCAAATTCCTAGTACTTTTATTCCTCATTCTTCATTCATACTTGATAATTTTTAATTCCAAATTCCTTGATCCTCATTCCTATAAGCTCTAATTCTATCCAATTCGAACAAAGCACAATTTAACTTAAAGTAACTAACCTTAACAGGTTCAACCCAATCTGCGTTATAATCCTTTAAATCCTCTTCAGTGATGATACCTCCTAACTCCTAAAAATCAGTCAAAGATTAGTATTTTGAATGGCTGAATCTTTAAGATTTAAGTTTACAAGAAAATAGTTTAAAATCATTATTTTTTGGCCGACTCTATTATTCATTGCAACACAACTCTTGGCCTTTTCGTTTATGGGTTTTTTGGTTGAAATAAATATACAGGATGAGACTTCAGAGACGACTGTAAGGAATACATATTGTCTATTTTCTTTATATCTATTAATTCCTGCAACTGTCAAGTTGCTTCTTTTTGTCCAGTCATTACAAATAAACCATTTAAAGACTACAATCCGATCTCTGCATATATATTTATATATATATCTGTATATGTATATATGTATGTATTTATATATAGAGACTTGTTTAAAGAATTTCGAATATTGAGGATCTTCGTGAGACGTGATACATTATGTTTAGTATAATTTTTTTGAATAAAATGTTAAGTTTAATATATATATATATCTATATATATAAATACCCAGCCTCTCCTCCCCAGCATCTCCAGCCTTTAAAGAAAAATATCAAAATGAAAAACGTACTTAAAGAGACAGTACACGTAATTTCAAGTGAACAACCTAACATCGTTACGAGATCCAGTTTAAAACATTTAAAGTTTTTAGACCTTTAAGAGGTTCCTGTACGAATCTGAGATGTACATTAATAATCAAAACCCGCAAGCTTGCTATTGTTACATATTGTGAAAATTTTGCCTTTGGCCAAATTATTCACCAAAACGATTTTTCCAAACGATTATCAAAATCGTTTTTCATTTTCCTTTTTGAAAAATCGTTGCAATGGCTGATATCTTTGACCAGAAAAAAAATGATCGAGACTACATATTTTTGGGAGTTCTTTAAAATAAAACGTCAGAAAACCCTAAATGTCTCAAAATGGACCTCAAAATGATGCCCATCAACGTGTGAGGTACATATTGGAATACTTCAATTCCCTTAAATTACGTAAATTAAAAGTGGAAAATTTGATAAAAAAAAATACTATTTGATTAGGCACCTAGAATCAGTATCAATTGTGAATTATTAACTGTGTTATCTCCTGAATCAGAATGGTATTTTAAGTACAAACTTCAGGAGGCTTAGATTGCAAACAACATGTTTTTGTTTTTAACAACGCATTTACTATACTTTGTTCATGTGTGATGAATTAGTAAAGCTTTTTACACCAACCCATAAGTATTTTAGAGAAGCTTAATTTTAAGTAACTCTCAAATAAAAGACTTTTTTATGAATGAAAAACATTTATCTGAGTAACAATGAGGAAGATAAAGCGATAATTTTTATCTTTAAATTTGATAAATTCTGTCTATTTCTTTTCTTGTATCTGCAGCATAAATCTAGTAGTCCGAGAGAGAGACCTCAATACCTGAGCTAATTTCTCAAGTGTATCCGCAAAATCATGTCTGTAGTAAACATCTCCTTCCTGATACCGGGGGGAAATATTAACAAACAGTTTTTAAACTTAATAATTGAAAAAGATATCTGGCTAATTCTGATTGTAACTAAGTTTGGCCAATTTATTAGCATATTGTGGTGCAAGAAAGTGGAAAAACTGAGACTGGGGTTTTAGGTATAGTTTACGCAGTGCTAGCTATAATTGCAGCTGAAAATGATTTCAACCCCTTTCTTTGCAATAAATTTTTATTGAAATTGTCCCATAAAGACACATGCTGATTGCAATACTGATTTGATTGAAATGGTTTGATTACATTACATGCAATCGTTGTTAATTGCAACCAGGTTTGCTTTGCAATGAACGTGGTCCATTTAAGCAATAAAAATTAAAAATCTTTAACTTTTTCATATATTTTTTATATTTCTGTCCCTGCCTTCCAAGCCTCTCCAGTTTTAGGATTTATAAATATTTCGCGCATCTTGGGATCTGTTAACTCATTGTCTAAAATAATCAAAGAAGGTGTCAAATCTTTCCATCGTTGTCGTTATTTAATAATTTAAAAAAAAGCTAATTCTGAAAATGTATCCACCCCCAAAGTAGGAGTTTTGAACGTCGAATTTGCGCTCAAACTCTTACAGATCTTTAAAAAGTTTAAAATGTCTCAAATGAATTCGAAAGAAGTTTTCCACAACACTGCATACTCAGTTCAACTACCTTACATAGCCGGTCACTCCCTTTAACATGTCTTTTAAATTATCCTATAACCCTAATAAAATTTAATTTTTGATAAAAAACTTCTTTTTCTGAATGATTGCAAATATCTGTTTAAAATTTTATTAGAGTTATAGGATATTTAAAAAAATATCCAAAATAATCATTTCTGACACCCTTGGGCTTAGTACATCAATTTAATTCACCAACACCTTTACTGCAGTCCTTCAACTATCATACAGGGAAATTTTAATCTTTCTGAATATCCCAGGGAAAGACTTGACACCTTCTTTTCAATTTTTGTTATGTTTTTTAGTGACATTAAAGTCTGCAGAGTAAAGTCTTCTTATGGATATTCCAAAAGTTGATACAGAGTGTCTCATAAAAAATGACGACTCTTCTTTTTGCGAAAATATTTACAGCTCAAACATTTATAAATAGAATCTTTCAGTCTTGGGATTTCCAAAACATGGTCTGCACTTTTCTTACCTTAAGAATTGACAAAGAAAATAAGAATTTTTCCAGATTTAATATTTATTAAAAAAGATTGATATTGTCTAATTATATAATGTCTTTATTAATATTTAAGATACAAAGATGCTCAGCCATATTTTGGAAAGCTTACAAGCTCACTATTCAATGGTTGTCAAAACTTCTAAATTACCATATTTATTTGGTCGCCCTGTAGCAAGATCTTGGCACAACAAAAAAGTGCAATATTTTCACTTGTTAGAACCAAAGACGGTTTTAACTTATAATAAGATAAAATTTGGTCGCCATTTTTTAATAAGAAGAAAATAGTATTAACCTGCCAATGTATTAGCGTGAGTCCAAGAAACTGTTATACCATTTCTGCACATGTTTATGGTCGGCTCTACTAGTCGGGCCCAGCTCATACAGGTACACCCAAACCTGTACAGTGTACATATAACCGGTTTTTGTACATATCGGCTCTACTAGTCGGGCCCAGCTCATACAGGTACACCCAAACCTGTACAGTGTACATATAACCGGTTTTTGTTCATGTCGTCTCATACTAGTCAGGCCCAGCTCATACAGGCACAGCCAAACCGGTACAGTGTACATATAACCGGTGTTTGTACATGTTTTAGTCGAATCCACTTGTTGTAATGAGCTAATACAGTTAAACCCAAACCCGTGTACATACAAATAACAGGCTTTTGTGCACTTTATCTGAGAGGGATTAACCCTACTCCGGCGGGGAGGGGGAGGGGAGATAACTAAAAAAGTATTGTTTAATTTTTTGACTTTTCTAACTAACACATGCCTCTCACTTTGGGCTCATAGTGGGGGTTTTATACCTTATGCATGAGTCATTTTCCTTTCCTTTTCCTTTTTCTTTTCTTTTGCTTTAATTCCACTTTTTATATTTTTTTAGAATGGGGGGGGGGGAATTCCCACAAACTATATTTTTGGAGGTTTTCAAATATTTTCTCCTTAAACACTTAATTTTGTAAGTTTTTGTTATTTTTCATAAATAAATGATTACTTACTTAATTACTTACTTATTGCCTGAATGCCTTATTTTACCTTTACCTACTAAGTCTATATTTAGACCTACTAGCCTTAAAGGGCGCTTCGCGCCCATCTTCTAAATTAATTGTGAACATGTTCTCTTTGTGTACATCGTAAAACAAAACAAAAATAATTCGCGGATTTTCACAAAAAATTTAAACCTTTTAAATTTTACAGAATATGCGTATTCTTTTAAAACATTTGAGAACCATTTTGGAGTCATCAAGCATCAATCATGAGGATCGTAAAATATAATTTGAAAATGATTTCGAAAAGGAAGTTATTCCTTGAAACCCATATCCCAGGGTCGGATTGACTTTCAAATTGAAATAAAAACAAACAATATTTACCAAACTTCTTAGACAATAAAGTTTATAATAATATTAGAATTATGTGAAAAAAACCGATATAAGATAATATTGATAATAAAAAGATGATATAAATAACAATGACAATAATAATAATTAGAATAATAATAATAATACTAAGACATAATTGTAGCCCTTGCTGCGCATATTTTAGAACTACAATGAGCTTGTTTTTAGCTTTAGCTTAAAATAAGTAATTGGCAAAATAAGCCCCATTTGGATCAGGCTGGGGTCGTTACAAAAAAAGAGCCCTTAATAACGTATACATAACACTAAAATACTTTTAAAATTATCTTTATAATTGTCATTAACAACACAATTTAAATATTTACCTTTTCTTTGCCTCCCAGTATCCGGATATTTCTCCAGGGACAGCTATTGATAAGGGTCCTCTCTGTGAAGCATCTTGAAAAATGAAAAATTAAAAAATTAAAAAATGAAGAAAAAACTTTTTTTTATCAAATTTCAAAGGACTGCATCTCCGTTAAACATATCCTGAGTAGCAGCTCCAGGAGCTTTCTCTCGAGCATCAAGAGCAAATACTTCCTTCTTCTACAAAAAAACCCAAAATATTTAAGAAAAAGAAGAACACTTTTTTTAAAAAAGATATTCCAGTTACCATTTTTTCTTTGTTATTAAATAAAAAACAAATTTTCGCGGATTTTTTCCCGGCAATATTTTTCAGTTTTTACCCACGCACCTCTGACCCTTTAGTAAAAGTAAATTCAGCCTAAAGTCTGACCGTATCAAACTTGTTGCACCGGCTAGTCCTTTATTGAGTGTTTGCTTTATTTATCCAATGTCCCGGCGACACAGTACAAACTGGGACCAGAAAGGTTGACCCAGCTCAGAAATTCAAATCCATAAACCTTCCATGTAGGTCATGTGCCACTAAACATTTGAACTCAGCTGCTTTAAGTTGAATGGATGCAAACAAACAGACAGACTGACAGAAAAGGCAAGTTTATAAATAGATATACCTATAATCATTATTAAGGTATTATTTTAAGTTTTAAATGTTTCCTTCAAACTTTTGGAACCAAACCCGGGTTAAACAAACAAAAAGCAAAAGCAAACTTTAGTAGACAGAAGACAAAGAGTGTTAAATGATATTGTTGAAACAATTATTATAAAACCCCTTCTCTTCGCATTTCCAAAATGTGCTTAAAACCTTTTTTGTGTTTTTTAACGGAACTCAACGCTAATTATAATTTTCTAATCCTTATTTTGTTTGCAACAAATGTTGTCGCATGCAGATCTTAGATTTTTAAAAAATATCGTGCAATTCCTTTTTACGACACATCCTTTATTATTAGATACATGGCCGGAAAAGGTTAATGGCGATTTTTAGGTTGTCTCTGAAATGTCATATTTAGTAAGTCACCCTATATACCTTAGCTTCAAATATTGTCATGAGAAACCCTCCGCCCAGACCCATGCTTTGACTGTTGTAGACGCCATTACAGAACAGAGTTGCGATTGCGGCATCCACAGCACTTCCGCCTTCTACCAACACATCTCTAAAATAAATTGGTTCAAGTTTTTCATTTCAATTTATTTTGTACATTTGGAGTTTTTTGTTGATTTAAACTATTGTTTTGTTCATTTAAACTATTGTTTTGTTGATTTAAACTATTGTTTTGTTGATTCAAACTATTTTTTGTTCATTTGAACTATTTCGATATCCATTTGAACTATTTTTATGACTCAAAGGTTCAAAGGGCGGTGGTACCCGTACCACTTGCAGAAGTTCAAACGCCCAATAGTCAAAAGATCAATTGTTCAAAGGGCGGTAGTTCAAACAGGATAGCATCAAAGGAACTGAACACGTGACTCAAAGTCTAGTTTTCTAACCTCCAAATCTTTGCAAAGTGGTTTTTAAATTTTAAACTTTGACTATTAGATTTATCAGTATAGTCTTGGTTTGAAACATCAAAGGTCTAGACATGAGGTGGCAAAGAAGTAAAGATCAGAAAAGTTTTAGGCAAGTGTTCAGTTTCTTTATTAAAAGCAAATCTGCAAAATCAAAACAGGAATATAACACTGTTTGTCATTAGATTGGATTTTTAAAATTGGCTTAAGTAGCTTTCAGGAAAAATAGCAGTTTAACTTGCATAAAAAAATATTATTTTGAAGCACCCCCCTTTCAAAACAAATCGACAATAAAAGATTGAAAATCAATAACAGAACTATTTTCTACGCTCACAGTCCCTTTAAGATTTTTTACGATGAACTTACTTCCCGACTTTTGCGCATGGTTCGCCGTCCACTGCAACTGCTGCTTTGCTAAAATTACCTAGTATACTTGGTCGAAAAGCCTAAAATAAAAATTTGTTATGATTTTAATGCTTAAATTCTTATTGAAGTAAGAATTCCAATTACGCAGTAAACTATTATAGCAAGGCTTATTGTTAAAAGCTAATAAAATTGCGCATCAAGGCAAATATCCACTTAATCGACACTTTTGTGAGTCTATAAATCACGACAAGATATATATTTTCAAGTAGATGTCCAAAAAATAAAAGTTTTGGAGTAAATTTTTATTTAAAATTTTTAAATAAAAAAATGTTTTCGCAATTTTATCAATAATTTCTCATCATGTCAAAAATAAAAAATATTTTAGTCTCTTAATGGCTTTTTATATTTTTTCTTTTTCGGCAACATTTTCGCGGATTTGAAAAAATTTGTTATTCAAAGTAAATCGACATGAACATTATTTACTAACAATAAAAAGCTGCAAGAAATTGCTCTCACAGGAACTGAATACAATTGTAATTGTAATTGTAATTGTAATTGTAATTGTAATTGTAATTGTAATTGTAATTGTAACTGTAATTGTAATTGTATTTGTACCTGAGACTGAAAGCTGCTGCTGTTCCACGGGAAGAAAGAAAAAAGAAAGATGGCGCCAACTGCGCAGAGAAAAGCAAAAACAAAACAAACATGGATCCATCCGAACCGTCTTCTCTGGAACCTAAACAAAACGAATAATTATTTTTGACTAAATTATCAATTTTTCTAATAAAAAAGTAGCTTCCTGAACATCTTCATTTCTTTAAAAATCAACCATTTAAATATTTCAAACATTCAATTCAAAAATGAGTAAAAAATTAAATATCTTCAGGGTTTGCTCGCTTGCAACCTTGCATGGTGCCTTTAAATTATGCTTTTACGTCTTAAACAATGTACAACGTATAATCTACATGAACTTGCAGGGGGAGGGGACTTTATCCTTAAAACTGCCCTTTCTTGTTATTTTTCTTTCTCCCTTATTCATCACCATTTACTATAGACCTTTCTTACTTTATTACTTATTTTCTTACTTATTAAGTTTTATGTAATATTACATATGTTTATAACAAGTTAATATATGTATCCTATGTGCAATGTTCTTGCATAAGCATTCTGAATTGACAAAACTACGAGAATTTTGTACAGTAAAATATGACACGGCCGAAAAAAACGAAAAATACAAGCCACCCGGATTTAATAGTTCGGTCTTTATATCCCATTATCCCATCAAGGTGTGACTTTTGATCACAGTTTTGCCTTTTAAACAAAACAAAATTTCGGCTTTTTCTTTTTATACTTTTTATACTTTTTATACTTTTTTGCGTTTTAAATGAAAAAGCATAAAAAGACAACTCTGTAAGTTGAAAGATTGACCAACACACGATTAACTACATAGATAAATCCAACCATAGATAAATTAGAAATACAGAACCCTACTCTCCTCATCCAACTATAGATAAATTAGAACTATAGAGAACCCTACTCCCCTCATCCAAACATAGATAAATCAGAACTATACAGAACCCTACTCTCCTCATCCAACCATAGATAAATTAGAACTATAGAGAACCCTACTCTCCTCATCCAACCATAGATAAATTAGAACTATACAGAACCCTACTCTCCTCATCCAACCATAGATAAATCAGAACTATACAGAACCCTACTCTCCTCATCAGACCAAAGATAAATTAGAACTATACAGAACCCTACTCTCTTCATCCATCCATAGATAAATTAGAACTATACAGAACCCTAATGTCCTCATCAGACCATAGATAAATTAGAACTATACAGAACCCTACTCTCCTCATCCAACCATAGATAGATTAGAACTATACAGAACCCTACTGTCCTCATCCAACCATAGATAAATCAGAACTATATAGAACCCTACTCTCCTCATCAGACCAAAGAAAAATTAGAACTATACAGAACCCTACTCTCTTCATCCATCCATAGATAAATTAGAACTATACAGAACCCTACTCTCCTCATCCAACCATAGATAAATTAGAACTATACAGAACCCTACTCTCCTCATCAGACCATATATAAATTAGAACTATGATACAGAACCCTACTCTCCTCATCCAACCATAGATAAATTAGAACTATACAGAACCCTACTCTCCTCATCAGACCATATATAAATTAGAACTATGCAGAACCCTACTCTCCTCATCCAACCATAGATAAATTAGAACTATACAGAACCCTACTCTCCTCATCAGACCATAGATAAAAAAGAACTATACAGAACCCTACTCTCCTCATCAGACCATAGATAAAAAAGAACTATTCACCAGAGAATTATATTCTCAACTGTATAAATAATAATAATTTTTTTAAAATTTAACATCTGTGTCTCGTAGGAATATATTGATCAAATCTCATCAGGAGTTAAGGATCATATCTGAGGCCTTTATTTTCTTTTCCACCAAACGTATGAATAATGTCCGTCTTAAAGGGAGTGTTCGCAAAAAAATAAGCGCTTTTATCGCTACTTATCTTACTTCTATCTGTTTCAACATTCAACTCGGATCGTAAAATAATCAATTTAAATCCAAGCAAATTATCAGATATTTTTTGACGCATTCGTATATCGTTGATATTTCATAATATTTTTTATTTTTCATGATCTGAGAGTTACTTTTGAAAACATTTATTCCTGTTTCGTGGATTTTTGATAATGAAGACGACATTATCATATTTTCCAGGAATGTTCGAAAATCCAGCGCCAGCGAAATATTATTTAAAAAAAAAAAATCAAAAATATTATGAAATATTAACTATATACAATTGCGTCGAAAAATAATCGATGACTACTGTTTGTAATATCTGAATGATTTGTTTGGAATTAAATTGATTATTTTACGATCCGAGTTGAATGTTGCAACTTCCCAAATTTGTATGGGTGCTACGTTCTTCGGTTGTGAAGTGAGTCGTTTTTAACAATTTTCTCCTTAAAGACGCAACAGATAGAAGTAAGATTAGAAGCGATCAAAAGGGCTTTTTTATCGCATTAAGCCTATACCCCCTTTCATTTTTCGCGAACACTCCCTTTAAGTATTTAAAGAGTTGTGTTATTATTAATAAATTGGAATCTGGACAAGTTTCTTTATAACTCCGTCAATTTAAAAGTTGCAAAAATGAAAGACCACACATATATATATACATTACATATCCCAAAGTTAGTTTTAACTTTAAGATACTACACACAAAGGATGAGACTGTAAAGACGACCTGAAACTCCGAAGATAAGGCAGTCTCAAGGTTAAATTTAGTCTTTTTTCTTATTCAAAGTATTTAAATGGCGAAATGGTTTGGCAAAGAAAGAAACAAAGGAATTGAGTTTTTGCCACAAACTCTGATTTTCTAATTTCAATATCGTTTCTACCCAATGTCGTAGACCTTTAATATTTCAAACTATGAATTCTGTTAGATCAAATAATGTAAGTTTGAAATATCAAAGGTTTAAATCATAAGGTTGCAAAGATATAGGTTTTACAAAAACTGAATGTGTGACTAAGACTCAATTCCTTTATAGTTGCAGGGAATCATGAGTAAAAGGAATACAGACAATATATATTCCATACAGTTGTTTCTGGAGTCTCCCCTTTCGTGGGTAACTTTCTACTAAAATTGTTTTATTTTACGAAATAACGCCGCGTGGAACAAAGACGACGCATAAGTCGTCGCTTACACATGTACGAGAGATTTAAAAAACTCAAATTTAAATCCTAAAATAATTCAAAATTTATACTTTTGTTTGAGGCTCTCCATTGTCCCGTCTATCTACAGGGAGGTCCAAAAAACATGAGAATCAATAACGTTTTTTCAAAAAGTCCAAAGATCGAATAATATACGATCAAATTAAAGCGCATGATTATAAAGTTAGTTTGATTTTTCACTATAACAACGCTTTAAGCCTTGTTTCGTTGGGTTTAATAAAAAAACACAAGTTTACAAAAATAGATAGTTTACAAAATATATCCTTTGGAAAATGAATCCAACACACAATTATGCCATATGTATTGTGTAGGTAACTAACCCTTAAAGGTCGGGAGGGGAGGGGGAGGGGGCGGGGTGTTTTCCCTCCTTATATCACCTTGAAATTTAATGACTTTTAATATATTGTAATTTAAAGGTTTTTCCCTAAATATTTGTTGATGCATGGGATACAGTAGGGTCGAAAGTTTCGGTCGGTGTGAGTTTTTTCTAGAAGCCTAGAACATTCTTGACAAGCTTTTAAAAGTGTATACAACTCATGTGTCATATGTTCTTATTAATATAAAAAATAAAATAATTCTCACATTGCGGCCTTTTATCTTCTTATTTTATAAAGACCTCTTTTTGACCCGAACTGCTATGAGATGTTGGTCAATTTTTTTTGATGAGCTGGTTTTTAAATATGTATGTAGATGTGGATGCCCCCCCCCCCTCTATACGTAGATTCAGGCCCCCATAGCCTTAAAAAAGAAAAGATTTGTTGCTGATCAATAAAAAAGCCTCCTGAAGGGTTGCTGCTGGGCACATTTTGTTTGAAACTAACTATTTAAAAAAAGTGATATGTGATTGTATTGAAGAATTTGGCCTTAAAACTAAAAACTTTTTTTTTGACTCAAACTATGAATTTCTTAATCCCCAAACCTCCGGTTTTTCCTTTGGCTCACCTTCAGGCCTTTCTGTTCAAGTATGTTTCACACTCGTGTGCGTGTTATGAAAACAAAAAACAACTTAGAAGTAAATTCGATCGTTGAACTTGGATTTTCTATCAAATCAAGTTTTAAAAGAAAACAGTGAGTTATTGAACTGTTAGAAGAAGAAGAGAGCTGAAGTGAAGATGTTTAGCCAAGGATGGTAAAATTAAACTGTTAGAAGAAGAAGAGAGCTGAAGTGAAGATGTTTAGCCAAGGATGGTAAAATTAAACTGTTAGAAGAAGAAGAGAGCTGAAGTGAAGATGTTTAGCCAAGGATGGTAAAATTAAAGGGACTGTCCTTGCTATTTAAACTATTTAGAGGGAAATTTCCCGTTCACAATTTCCCGTTCCAAAAAACCTTAAAAAGGGGTTAGAAAATTTGAGCTTGTGGCAAAGACTCAATTCCTTCCCAACATTTAATTGTATAACAAAGGAATTGAGTCTCTGTACAAACTCTGATTTTCGAATCCCTATATCTTTGCAATTCAATCTCTGAGACCTTAGATATTTTAAACTATTAATCTAATAACCTAAGTTTGAAATATCAAAGATTTACACCATCAGGTTGCAAGGATAAAGAGGTTACAAAATTTGAGTTTGTGGTAAAGACTCAATTCCTTCTCCGGCCTCCCTTTATAACTGCCAATAAACGGTCAACTTAAAATGTACGGTTACAAAATTTATGTATCATGAATTTTCATTTTAGATTTTATAAAAAAATTGTTTACATTAATAATCTATACAAGGTCAATGTTAATGATATGAAAAAAAATTGACGGAAAACAGAGAATAGAAATACTTAATTGCATGATGAACAAAAAATCCAAGTTAGAATATAAAAATAGATTTGATTTGATTTGAAAATTAATTTAGATACCAATTGCATAAGTTTTGTTTGTTAATTTATTACATTTCCTATAATTACATTGGCTTCGAATTAAATTTCATACTAAGTCTAAATATCTTATAGATTTTGCTCCTAAAACTACTTTGGCCCATAGACTCTTTTAGGCGCGGCGCTCGGCCCAGAAACCGTGAACTATCTTTTCTGATACCAGAATTGAAGAAGATATTTCGCACATAGCATGATTTATATAAACTATATCAGATTTGATTTAAGACGCTTGATGTAGGAAGTGCAGAATTAGGAAATGTACCTGTTTGGAAAAAATAATCTTAAATGTATCGAATAAGTGTAATTATTGCTAATGTAACTATATAAAATAAGCTCGGGAACTCAGCGTTGCCTGGGCCGGATACTCAAAGTTACTCCCGCCGTTTACTTCCACTTTGTCTTAAATCTCGATTTTATATATTTTCCCCAATTAAAGTCGACTCACTCAGTTTAAAATATCAAAACCAAATTAAGAACATTTTGGTGGTTCTTCCAAGTTCCCTGATCAAAATTTGAGGCAAATTGGTCCAGGGTTTTATTCTTTATGATCGGACACACAGACAAATAAACAAACAAACAGAGATTACTACTTTATATATGTAGAAAAAAGCTTTCAAACCTCTATCTGATTAACTGAGATTTGAATATTTCTCTCTTCTATATACAGGGTGTCCCAATAAACATGGGAATTCAGTGACGAATTCGATATCGTCTTTTAAGATAATTCTTTAATTTAGTATAGTGATACCTACTGAGAAAGCTGTAATCTGTAAGAATTTCGTCTGCTATGTTCACATTTTGTTTGTTTATGTTTTGACTGCATGCGTTTGTACTTAGTAAAACAAGAAAATTGCAGTATACAAACAGAGTAAACTTGTCCGTCTTCACTGTTCATCTTGCAGAGACATTATAGACACATCTCTACAGTATTTTACCCTTTTCATAAAATAAACTCATAATAATATTATGGCTTTTGATATTTGGTATTACAGTGCTAATTCATAACAAAGACGATATCCAATTCGTCACTGAATTCCCTTGTTTTTTTGGGACACCCTGGAGATACTTTGCTTGTCTGTCTGTTTGTTTGTTAGTATCCAATAAACGTCAAAACGGCTGAACTGATCGGGCCCAAATTTTTTTATGGGACCTAACGTGATCCAAGAGGAGGTCTATGGATATTCGAATTTTCAAAAATTTGCCTCTAAGAAAATTCGATTTGGAAAATTTATATAAAGAGAAAAATGGGCGCGAAGCACCTTAACAGCCTATGGCAAAGTATAAAATCACAGATCCATTGATTTCTAGAAACCGCAGAGACCACTTTGTTATAGGGATGAATAATTGTTGGCACTCTTTCACAAAAAGTTCACTTAAAAATGCGTCGAAAATTTAAAATAAAAAGTATTCAAAATAGATAATTTTGCATCGGTTCCCTCTCAGTTCATGAGTTAGGTTTCGTGCTAACGTTTCTGTTTTTACTTAAACTCTGTTATTCTCATGTAAATTGGACCTCCCTGTACTATCTACACTTCAATACTGTAATCAGGTTCACGGTTAATTTCATACTGAGGAGTTGCCTTGCAGCTGAGATAGAAATTATTGAATAAACATTATAAACTCATCTTCTTAATCCTTACAACCGGGCGGGGAGGGGGGAGGGGGCAAATTGAACTATCTCAAGTCGTTAATTTAAGTTACACTCGAAATTCAAGCTCAATAGAAATTTGATATCTTTAATGTTTTACTCTAGCTAGCTAGCGTATAGTTGTATCTTTGTAACACAATAACAAAACATTTTTTGCGTAAACGTTCTTTAAAAATCCTTATGAGGGTTTAAAAATATTTTTTTATACATTTTGATGCATCTTAACTCTATACGTGGAATAATTGATGAATAAATTAGCGTGTAAACAGTTAAGCACATAGGCCTAGGAGGAAGATAACCCTCCTTTGCATTAGTTGGAACAATACAAGGAAATTTTATGATAATAACAGGGTCGGGCAGGATTAAGAGGGTAGGCTAATGATTCATGGGTCGGTTAATAGAACATAAAGAGAAGGAGGGGTAGACCGGCAGCAATAAGCCTCAGAAAAAGACAAGTGAGCCTCCCTGATTTTACACAAAGGAAGAGAGCCTCCGCAGTACAGAAACATGACCCTCTGCCTTATAAAGGGGCTTTCCCAAAATTCTTTCGGTATAAACTTTTAGAACATTATAATTTACTCATTGTCATTTAGAATAAAAAAAACTATTTCTGAATTGGATTCGGGGCTTCTCTTCTGATATATTAGTTAGACAACAGTAATTACCTAAACCCGACGAATTTGCTAATGAATGACACGTCACAGCAAAATTTTAACAACCAACTAGTTAATTCTGTTCAAATCTTCAAAACCCTGATTTATTTATTCGATTTTCACTTTTGAATACACCCTGTGTCAAAATACGACATCAAAGCGAATAGCGCAATTGGATTGCATTTTTCAGGGGCTTTCCAGCGGTACATAAAACAAACAATTCCCCCTCCCCCCCCCGCCCCCCAAAAAACGCCCTATCCGGAACACAGTGATTTACACCGCATAATTGCTTTGTCCCATGTACATTGGACTATTTAGTAATAACAATGGGCTAAAAGTCGTCTTCCTATTCTGAAGTTTTATAGTTACCACTATATATGATTTTAAAATCACTTTGAATTTATGATTAAATCATTTTGGAATTCTTACATAAAAATTTTCAGCAATATTATCACCCGCAACAAAAAGCGTACCTTCCGTTTAAAATAGATTTGGTTTCATTCACATCATACAAATCATTTTCATCATCCTCATCCTCATCCATCGTCTGTAAACAAATACTTTAAATATTTTAGACGACTGAAAATCTTAGACTATAACTGAAAATGGAAGCACTTTTTGATTTATTAGATAAATATAATTAGAAAATTAGCTATTTTTAGTTCTGGTCTAATTTTTATGGAAAAGTTATNCTTGATTTGTTTTTACGGTGGTATATGGTTTTCTTTATTACATTGTCAATGTACGCTATAAAGACTAACCTTTTTAACAAGTGTATTTAAGCTTTTAAGGAATATATTTTAGTGTCTGAAACTTTTCAGTTTACATATACAATATACATAAAAAAATGAATGGTACTTTAGCTTAAGGAAAAAATTCATTATTTAAAATCAAGGCTTCTTGTCCCTCGGTCTCATCATGATATTATAAAGATGAATACAAAATAAAATTTCTAATATTTTTTTAAAAAGAGTTTGAGACATTGAGACATTCTTAGTGAATTTTAGAGTACTCAAAAAAAACCTTCTAGTTTGACTCAGGATGTCCAGGATGAGTTGACTTGACAGAGTACACCGGTGCTATGGAAACGCCTCAACACGGAAACGTCTCAACACGGAAATGCCTCAAAAAAAGCGGAAACCCCTCAAAAACCGGTTTTTTTGAGACGTTTCAGCAATTCTGCAAAAAAAACGGAAATCCCTCAAAACCCAGTTTTTGAGGGGTTTCCTCTTTATTTTAAGGCGTTTCCTAAAATTTTTGAGGCGTTTCCGTATTTTTTAAGACCTGACTTAGTTGAGGTGTTTCCTCTTTTTTTTTGAGGCGTTTCCGTTTTTTGAAAAAAGTTTTAAAACTTTATTTTGTTGAGGCGTTTCCTCTTTTTTTTGAACTGCAGCTTTTTTATACATTGAGCCATGTTTTGAATAGTTCATTTGTTTAGAAAGGCCCACAGGAATGGTCTGAGGAAGCCTTCTACCATGAGGCACATGTCTAAGAAGGGTGAGTCCTCATTTTACAATTATAGATTAATTAAAAAATATTGTTAATATTTTTTACAATTTCAGTCGAAATATTTCAATATATATACATGGTAGATATATTCTCCATTTGATTTGATCTTTATAATTTAGTTGCTACGAGGTTCCTGACCCACGAACTGATGCCAATCTGAAGAATTGTTCGGCAATTAGCCGACATTGGACATCGGACAGTGGAATGGCTCAAATTTTGTCTTGTGTCCGACGTTAGACTTCCAACCCTTCATTCATTCCACCCTTCCCCCCATCTTTCTCTTCCTTCACATCCTTACCTCTCCTTCGCATCCTTTCCTTTCTACCCATCCTTTCCATCTTCATCCTTTCCATCTTCATCCCTTTCATCTTAATCCCTTCCATTTTCATCCCTTCCATCTTCACCCTTTCCACCTTCATCCTTTCCATCTTCATCCTTTCCATCTTCATCATTTTCCATCTTCATCCTTTCCATCTTCATCCTTTTCCATCTTCATCCTTTTCCATCTTCGTCCTTTCCATCTTCGTCCTTTCCATCTTCGTCCCTTCCATCTTCGTCCTTACCGTCTTTCCATTTTTTCCTTTCTTCCCATATTTTCCTTCCTTCACATCCTTCCCTTTCTTCCCTGCAACCTGATCAGAACAGGATCTGTTCCGTCGGAGAGTTTGTTAGATCTCAGGGATTCCGAGAAAGTTAACTTAGTACGGAAATATGAAACGCAGTTCCACCTCCAACGGGAAAAGCTTTTGACTATGAATTGGTGAAGTGCCTTCAAAAGGAGTTTTTTTTTTTAATCTAATATTTCAGACAAGTTGCTAAGATGGCAAAGTCCAAGAATCACACCAACCCAACCAGACCAGGTATCACGTTTTATTTAAAGAACATTTAGTTTGTTAGGGTTATCTCTGCTGGGGTACTTGAAAACCAGGATATGCTGGAGGGGTCTCAATGACCCCCCCCCCCCTCTAAATCCCATGTTTGATGTCCAAATATGACAAGTGATACATCGACGTCCTAAAGAGTATTT